TATTCCAAGTGTGAAAAAAAGACAAACCAAGAAAACAAACAAACAGAAAGCAATAAAACCTCATGTTTCACAAAAAAAAAGATGAATGCCAAATCTTGCCTTCCTATGCTTCGAAAGTAGAAGGGAGAATTTGTTTCCAAGTATAAGGAAGGGGGCAAGAGAAGATCTACCTGATGGGTGCTATAAAATGGCAGGATTAGCCTATGTCACTGTTTGCCTCACCCTACTACCTGCTTTTCAGGTAGGTGGCATCACATCACTTTAACCGATTGGTAAATTGGCCAGGATGTTGCTTATAAGGGTGAAGCAAACTTTCAAAATTTAACAAACTGCTTGATACCAGAAATATTAGTATGTCGAGGAAAAAAATGTAGCAGAACATACGATGATATGAATAATGTGATATGATAGGGACACGTGGCTTCTGTAAAAGAAAATGATGTGTTCTTCCACTGAGATGTTTTGAGCATGTCAAGAAAATCATGGACTTGAGAATCAGCTGAAATTTGGCCTTTACAGAAGCCTATGGCAAAGCTTCTCATTGAGAAGCTGCCAAATAAATTAAGCAATGTGATGCATTGTGGCAAATTAGGAATTTACCAAGAGATGGTAAAACAAAGGGTAGGAAGAAACTAGCAATGTTAATCATGACAAAAGGTTATCAAAGGGGTGTTCCATTACTAAGAGTGGAATTGTGTGTATTTTGACAAATGTAATCTGCACAAAATGATGGCTGTGGGGTAAGAGAATTGTAAATGATACAATCTTATGGACAATGAATCAAGATTAGAAAACTTGAAAGGGAATAAAAAGAACTTGCTGGCAGACAAATGCAAAGGCAAATGAAGTTATTGTTGACAAATACAAGGTAGTGTGCCTTGGAAACAGCAGTCTTAAACTAATCACACACCTAACTGTCTTTAATATAGCAAACTGTAACTACTCAGGGAAAATATCTGGATATCACTGCAGCCAGTTCAATGAAAACCTTTTCTTGGCATATGCAGCAGTGGTTAAAAAGTATGTTAGATATTCAAATATGCATAGAGTAGAACTGAAATAGCACTGAAAATATTACGCTATTATAAACGTATGGTGTGCTGCCGCTTTTGATCTCACTTCTGATGCATATTGTGTATCAAAAAGATATATTAGTAATAGAAGGTGTTTTAAAAGATGACAGTGAAAATGATTAGTGGGATGGCAAGAACTTTCTTCTCCCTTTGAAAAAGAAACTGAAAAGAATGGGACTAGCAGGTCTAAAAAGAGAGTGAGATCAAAATAATGCATGTGGTAGAGAAGAGAAATATAGCTGACTCTTTTTTATCATTCTTAAAATGTGAGACTGGGGAGGCAGCAAGAGAAATTAAAGAAACAAACAACAAATTTTCTTTAACTAACTTGTACCCAAATTCCCAAACCATGTCTAAAGTTTGTAAGAAATGTGTAGGCCTGTTGCAGCTTACATCAATCACACACAACAAAAGCTGTAGAAATGCAAAATATTGTTTGAGACCAGGAAGACAGTAAGGTTAAAATAAAGATATACTTTGCACAGTCAAGGAGAATATCCACAGTTAAATGAGGCAAACTCAGAAGGTAGAAACTGGGACTCAGGAGAAAAATTTTCAGCTGCGCTCATCTCCTTTTGCCTGTGGTTCTTGCTGTCATCATGGGACAGGAGCTTGCTCAGGATGCAGTGATTATCCATGTTAGGGGTTATCCATCTCCCATTGCAGTAGCCCTGCCACTACCAGCGGTAGCCTGGTTGAGTCTGAAGAGGACATCTGGTGGCTTGGGTAGCATTAGCACAGTATAAGAGCCGTTTGCTGGAGGGAGAAGGCAGCTTGTTGGGCTGTGTGACCTGGGTCTCTCCTGTGATTGTCTTTATGTGGAGCTCTACAGGGTTTCTTGTTTATTCTGCAACAAGTAGTTGCTGCCTCGACTCTTCTCATAGCATAGGAGAGCCCCCCTCTGGACCCACTCCAACAGCTCAAAAATCTTTGATTTTGAATTCTGTCGTTCCTTGGCTACAAGCTATAAAATACTTTATTATAGGAGAAATTCTGCAGTTGTCTTTGGACAGGAGAGAAATCCAATTCTGATGTATCAGTCTCCCCATTCTCATTGATTCTCATAAGATATTGCAGGGTGTCATGCCGTGTGCCTGGGCAGAGAAGGTGGCTTCCACACAGACTTTTCTACCAACTGCAGTGGTGACAGCCCTAGGAAGGCATCATGTTGATAGTTCTGATACAGGGCCTCCAGAAGAAGTGGTTAAATATGTAGGCAGGGAAATGCTGATTGGTGGGGATCCTGGAGACAAGCTCTGGCATACAAGATCTCAGTGGGTGTAAGAGAGAAAGTTGCCATGGTGAGAGTGCTTGCTACCATTAGTACCATCTTGGTGCTCTTCATGAAGGAAATTGCTTAAATACTGCTGTGCTTACAGACCGTCCAGTTTCCAGTAGTGTGGATGGTCAATCTGACTGGCGTTTCCATTGTAACCTATTAATGTTTTGAAATTATTGTGCTGCTGCTGTTCTGCAAGATTATTGTTTTAAAAGCTAATGCTAACCTAAGACTGTTCTAATTTTTTGTTGGTTTTGTCAGGTGCAGTTTTAAGATTCCCAAATTACTTTGTCTGTAAATGTCATGCTTATACAATACTGAGAATGTCCTTCTATAAAGTGTCAGACTGAAAGAAATTCTCTCTAGTTGTTTGTTTTGCACCTTATCTCCAGAGCCCTTGAGGAACCACTGAATGCAAATTGACACAGCACTAGTGAAATATGTTTTCACTGAGTGCCAAGAAGACTAAAAGAAGGAGGTCTCGCAGCTTCACATTTTTGGGGACCTGTGTTCAAGTCCACTGTGTGTAGAGCTGGGAATGGTAGATGTCATCTTGTGACTGAATTCCTCTTACTATATAAAGAATGAATCTGGCCAAATCTTTTACTGTGGGAAACTTCTTCCAGTCAGAATTTCAACAAAGTTTTATTTGGAAAATGATGCAGCTACCCTCACAGCCTGCACCAGGACTCTCAAGATGTTGGTCTCAGCACTGTGGGAAACCAGAAAGTGCTGAAAGCCTTAACTAGAGCTAGGCCTTCCAGGCTCCCTCATGGAAAGCTGAGTTTTGACTGGAGCTGGAGCTCTCAGAGCTTTTAGACTCCTAGACTTTCGCAGCAAACTTTGGTTCTCTGGCATGTCTGCCTCTTAGCCAAGCCCAGAGAATATAGAATAGAGTGCCACCCAGCTGGATAGGGAATGATGTCTGATTTGCTAAGGGTTCTTTGAACCCCCTGTGTTTCAGGTGAAATATTTTGCATTCAACAAATGGCCACTTTCCAACAAAAATTCTGTCTTATTGAAATGTTTCCAGTCATCTCAAGTCACAAGTGAAAGTGAATGTGTGGAGCTCAGTCTGGTGCCAATTGGTCCTGATAACATGTCAGCAGTTGGTAAGGGATGAGTGTGTGTATTTGCCAGTCTTCCTGAAGGGAGTAGCCTTGAGTGCTGATGTGAAGGTTTAAAATTTATTTGTGAAGCTATGGAGAAAAAAACTTTTCCATGCACTGGCCACTTTATGCCAAGCTCAATTATTCTTTTCCTCTCATGAGTACTGTGCTAACCAAAATTGTGTACTGTATAATTGTTTATACATAGTTTGTATTAATGAGTGTATCTGTTTAAATATGAAGGATGCTCCAAAAGTAATGCCTGCTGTTTATTTCCTTGGAAACTATAACATTAGAGCACAATAACACTACTTGATACAGCAAATTCTCAGCTTCAAAAGACTATTTTTAACATAGTCACTACCATTAGCTGTGCATTTTTGCAAGCAACAAACAAGAGCTTGCATGCAAAAATCTGCACCAGCAAAGGTGACCCACTGTCAGCATTGCCACCACTGAAACACTCCACTCACCACCTCACTGTGCTCACATCCACTCCATAAACATTCAGCAAGCATCACTGAATGTCAGTGGGTGCCATTTTTTTCTGCATGGAGGAATTCAGTGACACACCTTTGTGTCATATGCACTTCTACACCAGATGCCATTTTGTCAGGCTGCCCTTCTGATGCCTTTTGTCACACAATAACAAAATGTGGTGGAGTATTGTCAGGAAAGTTCAATCTCTATTGCTATACCACCAATATCTGCTTCTGATGTCATGGGCCAATGTAATTAATAGGTGGCATTACTTTTGGAGCAGCCCTCGTAGATAATACATAAACCATTGCAGATGGATGGATGGAGTTCTCTTTACAAGGTATCAAAATCAGGCCTGAGGATTCTGGGCGTTGTGTAGTCACATTGGAGCATGCAGACTCCATGAGGCAGAGTCAAAATACAAAGGACAGTGGGATTAACTGATTTAATGGATTTATAGAGTTATTTGACAGACACCATCACTCCTATTTGTATTTTATCAGAACAGAGCAGTTTATTTTCTAGTGGAATTGATTTCAAGTGGTTCAGTGGTGCCTTAGTATTGCCAGGTGTTAGGTTTTTTTTTACCCTAATGATAGATAAATTGGTGGTGGATGTTGCTCTGCAGAATGATGGTTTGCTGGGTTCCTCTGAACAATTTTTATTTATAAGTTACACAGAATAATCATGCTTAGCATGATTAGCGAACATGTAATAAATAGGCTCTTCTGGAGTTTCTTTGTTTAGTTTTGTTTATAGTCAAGGAAGTTGCTAGTTATATTTTGAAAGTTTTTTACATATTGACAGGTCTTCGGGATCTGTTTCACCCAAAGCAGACTTCCATCATTTCCATGATACAAAAACAGATGTTTCTTACATGTGAGAGAGTCCGACTGTTCTTAGTATCTGACCTCTTTCCAAGTGCTCAGAATGCAGAGTTTCACTCATTAGCTAAATTTTCTTGTTTTAAAACAGTGAGGAGTATGGAGCTGAGATTTCTATAATGCTAGTAAACTACTCTGCTTAACACATGCTTTTATCTTTCACCTCTTGAACCAGGTTCATCAGCACCAAGACAGGGGTGAGACCTTTCAATGCCAGCTATGCCCTTTTACCTCCTCCCGCCACTTCAGCCTGAAACTCCATATGCGTTGCCATCAGCATTTCCTCAGGACAGAATCCAAAGTGAAGGAGGAAATACCAGAAACTGAGGTGAAGGGGTCACCACAGCTAAATAGTGACTCCTGCCCGGGACCACAGAGGGAAGGAGTTGGACCTGACCTTATGGGATCAGCATCTGTGTCTAAAACATCTGATGTGGCTGGGCAGGCTAGTGGAGGTATTCCACCTTTACTAGTGAAAGAAGAGCCCAAAGATGACAATGGCATCTCAGCTGCACCTTTTGCTCTTAGTACTGTTGACAGAACCCCCAACAACACAAAGCTGAAAGACTCTGACTTTGTGGCCAGTACAGCATCAGCACTATTCAGCCAAGACATCTCTGTCAAGATGGCATCAGATTTTCTTATGAAGCTGTCAGGTAATTGAGCAGCAAGCAGCAGCAGCAGCTGCTCCTTCTGGGGGCTAAGAAACCCTTTGCCTTGGGTTTGCTAAGTCATTGAATTTCAGGGAGCAAAGCATTGCAACTCCTTAACTTACAATTTCTTGTTTCTTTGGATAAAAAGAGAAGTGCATGATGGAGGGAAGAGGGGAAGAAGTGGGAGAAGACAAAAAGAGAGGGATTTGCTGTTTATTGAAACCTGGAACTGGGAATGAAAACTTGTTTTCCAGGCTTTGATATTCACTGACGGTTGTCTCAGCAAATCTCATTTGGTGTGTTTTTCAGGTATGCTACCTACTTGTAGTTCTGGTTTAAAATCACCGAGGGTCACAAGCACCCAGCACATTAGAAAATTCAGCTCTTAACTTTTTCTCTGCCTTTACCCATCTGTTAAATAGGAACAATAAATGAGTGGTGACCTTTCTTTCAGGGAGCATAAAATAACTATCTAGTCACTGCTTGTGAAGTAGGAATGTTACTGCGTTTCTTGATCATTAACATTAAAAAAAGGTAGTCCTAGAGATTCGTGAACAGTTTTGAATTTTTTTCAAAATTCAAATTGAAATCCATATCAAATGCAAAATGTTTTTTTTTATTTGGTTGTTTTTTTTTCCCGCTGTCAGGTTATTGCTGTGAGAATGATATTTGTACGTGAGAGTCTGAAGAGGAGAATCTGTTTAGGGAAAATCTATTGTACCTTATGTGCTTTCTTATTGATTTGACTGAATTCAGGATTGTGGACATGCTGTTGTTGGAGTGTTATTGGAGGTGTTCTACGTACTGAATGTTGTTGGTTTGCTTTGTTGTTTTTTGTTTTTAATTGGCCTTTAATTTTTAAGGGAAAGAAATCAGGAAAATGTCTGAAAACTGAAGAAACTTCTGTTTCACAAGGAGATGTCAGTCCAGGTTGCAAGTTCTAGACTTTGGAGATAGAAGATACCCTTTACAGTAGAGAATAAGTTGTCACCTTTTTCCTTTAAATAGAATGTAAGTGGTATTCTAGTGAAGAAAAAAAAAAAAAAAAAAGGCAGGTAAACTGGGAAATTAACTCTGTCCTCATTGCCCTGTCAAGGTGAAACGGCAGCATTTTGTTGTGGTAGAAAGGGTTGCTGTCCTCATCTGCCCAGATCTCTGAGATAATAATGCTGTGGGGAATAGAATAGAGTGGAGAAACAGCAGAAATGAAGCTTGAGGCTTCATGGAGCCAGCCACAGAAAGGAAAAAGAAAAGACTGAAGACGAGCAGGAAGTAAAGTGGGTTAGCACAAATCCAGTTTCTTATGTGGGTTGAAAGAAGCCACATAAATATTTCCTTAAAAAACAAAAAAAAAAAAAAGAAAGAAAGAAAAGCGTTGCTGTATTATAATAAACAAAAAAATGAGCAAGGATGAGTCTAGTTTTGTTGGTTGAGTTTCAAATTTGGACCCTGTAAAATCCATTTCTGGTGTTTGACGGTTGTCCCAAACGATCTCCTTCTGGTGCTTATTAAACTTGTATTGCTTTACACTGAGTGACTCCACATCATCTGTGCTGAACTGTGGATAGCAGTGCTGATGAAGGCTACATGTAGCAAGAGTGAGAGAAGAAAGCTGGAGAGGAGGGGAAAGCTTGAATGCTGAAAAAACATGCAACATTTTGATGTGCTGTTTTTCATGTGGCAGTTGATCGGGAATTGTTTAGTGTTTGGCAGACATTCATGTTTTCAGTGTCTGATCTATTGGCATCAGCAAAAGGATATAAATGTACATTATTCATGCAAAAGACCTGTGCCGCTATTTTATGGTGACTTACTAAAGGTCTTGAAACCTGACTTGTATGCACTGTTACCTAGCAACATGTTATAAAGTCACTGGGGGAGTGAGATGTATCTGTAATTTTGTATGTGTGCATATTTGGTTGAAAATGTTCTGCCAGTCACCAAGTTTACTACACAAGGAGAGCAATGTTAAAAGGAAAAAAATTTCTCCTGAGATTTATATTGTTTTATACATTTAGCTCATGCTTTCCTCCATATAGTGCACATAAATTTAGAGTGAAGTAAAAGTAATTCTCTTTTAGCAAGTTGGCTAAGTAATAGCTGCATTTTTTTTAACTGCTTGCTGTGCTGAACCAAGTGATTTCTTTATTATGACACACTCTTGTTAGGCCCATCAGAACTTCAATTATTGGCCTTACCTTTTCAACGATATAAATCTTTTGACATCACAAATTGTGTATGCCAGTTGTAGCAGCCAACGCAGATTTGTCGAGACCGTATTATGTCAAAACAATCTAATTTTCTTCTCTGACAGGCCTTGTGGCTAAGAAGGAAGCAGTAGAGGGATATCTAGGCTTTTAGAATTTGGCGTTTATTCTTATTGAGTATTGATGGTTTAAATGAACACTTATTTTTCCTTGCCTATGTTTATTGTCCCTCCTTCTTCTTGGTTAGTTTGAGTACGTGCATCTCTAGTTTCATAAGAAACTGTGGGAGCATGTTGGTTTTCTGGGCAGTTTCAGCCCCTTTTTTTCCAAGTCTCTGTCCTTGGATGTGTGCTTGCCTCCCTTCACAGCCAGGAGTTGTGTTTTCCGGTGCTATCTCAGAGCAGAAGTTTAACTGGAATGTCTGAGGTGAAAGATGGTACAAAATTGGTGCTTCTCAACTATTATTATTAATTTTAAAATTTAATCTTTGTAGGCATGTGTATCATCATGACTCTTAATATTATTTCTAATTGTGCAGTACTTTTCTAGTCTAAGAAGCTGCTATCAGGTGACTGGAATACAGTATGCTGTGAGTAGGTTGCAGTAAGAAGACAAAGGTTGCTGACAGAAGAGATCTGGAGGAAATGGGCAGCTATTCAACAGACAATTGCAAGAATGCTACATCAAGAATGACTAGCAAGCCTTTTAGGAAAATAACAGGAGTTCATAACATCACACTGTTGCTCAAATGTTGATCATTTGACTGGTATGTATAAGGAATAAAATGGCCCCAGAGAAAAGGCTGCTCTTTTCAGTCTTGCTGAAGAGCATGGATGGTTAGAAGGACTTCAGAGGAGAGCAGCAGAATTGACTGGCAGTTAGGAGGATGTGTCCGGAGAGGATGGATGAAAGGGAAGTGAGGTTGTGAAGCCCATCAAGAAAGCTAAGGAGAGTCATTAGTAAGCCTTTACTGCCTTAAAAAGTTTGTTGAAGTGGATAAAGAGGAATGATCTGTTGGCGATTCATGATAACTGGGATAAAAAATAGCAGGTTTATATTACTGTAGGTTTTAAGTTGGCATTAGGAAAACCTTTCAAAACTTGAGGTGGTTCAACTTCCAACTGTTCAGAGAGATTGCAGCATCTCCACCACTGGAAGTTTTTAAAAGATGGTTAGATAACTTCTAGTTGGATGTGATTGGTCAGGTATTAGGCAGTAGTGAATTAGACAACGTGAGAAACAGCTACAAGAAATTCAAGCTGAACAAGTAGCGAGCTGCAGAGGGGCAAAGGGAGGAAAAAATGTACAGATGTTCAAAGTTGGATCTGATTTTGAGATGGCCATAAAAGGACTGTGCTCAAAATGGCTTCTGAAAAATTTTCATTTAAAAAAGCTTAGGGGATCTTAAGAATCAGAGAGGTAGAGAAATATCAGAATAAGTGATCTGAGATCTTTTTGCCTTTTTTTTTTTTCTAAGTTTATGCCATTACGTGTCACAAAAGTTGAAAGATGCATGTTATCTGAAATGAGGCATAACACAAATCACAAATAGTAAAACTAAAATGAGAACAAACATAGAAATCTTTACCAGATTATGTTCTCTAGGTTTTACGTTAAGGTAGGAGATGCTTTTACATTCACCAGCAATTAAAAAGGATTCTCTGGAATTTTATTTAACTTTGAAATGGTTATTGCTTAGAAAGAGAGTTAGCTGAATACTCTTAACATAAAACCTTATACTAGAAGAGTATTTAAGCATGGGCATATCATTATGTTTAAACCTCCCCCCCCCTTATTTCCGTGGGATTACCTCTATGCTTTAAGTTGCCCTTTGCAGTTTCAGTGCTTTGCCAGAACGTTTTGTTCCCCCAGTCCACGAATTCTTTGTAACCACGTTCATGTCTTAATTTGCAGAGCATTTACTTTTCCTGTTTTAAAAGTTTCAGTGATAGACTTTATACAGCACATCTCTTTAAATTCTGATGCCCTTCCACCCACTTCTAAGGCTTGTTTTCTTTTTAAATAAAAAATAGCTTTCACAGTGATCCAAATTACCATGCCCACTGAACTCTAGTGAAGCTATTACGGTGCCTGTGTTATGTGCAGCAGTTTCTTTTCATAACATCCGAAAATAAATGGAACCCATCAAAATGAATGTGATTCTTGCACTATTGATCTCAAAGGAATTCTGTGTGGAAACAGTAATTGTAAGGCATACTTCATTCCCAGCCTCTCTCCCCAACTTCTGTGTTCAGCAAGTGCATTACTGTGGAAAGCACATCTCTTCATCTTCTGACGTTGTGTGTCATCACTTGTGCCCCGCTTCTACCATTCGTTTTATATTCCCCAAGTTACTTGCAAGGAAAATCTTTAATATACAAAGGCTGAAGGAGAGATAGCAGGCACGTTGCATTTGGAACTGTCTATGTTAAGCAGTGAGAAACTATGGTTTCTCCCAGGTTAAGTCATGTCTGATGTCACTGTTGTGTGACGAGTCAAATCTTTATTTTGAGAAGTAATGCCACTGTGGGATTTTGGTGTCTGTCCAGAAACTTTGGTTCTGCATTCATGTTTTCTTAGCTGATTCCATTAATGGCGCAACAAGATTGTAAGCCATCAGCTGCATACAAAATATTAGTAGATAAACAAAGTAATCAGTTTATCCATTATGTTTGCCTTTTGAAAAATACTGTATTCCTTAAAGGTAACACAAGTAACTCGAAATGTTGCAACGCTTGTCATTGCCTGAGCTGGCTGGCTTGAAGACTCTTGTCATAACTGATGTATTTGTGTAGC